GTGTGTGTGCTTTTATATATATAAAAGCCTTTAGGTTTTTTGTTTTGTCCGTTGCTGTACAAAGAAAGCATAACCAAGCATGAAGAGGGAAAAAAGAGTGAGATATTTGCCCTTGGCTTCCCAGTATTATGGAGGGCATATTAGCCCCCACCAAATCCGTTATAGTCGAATGGGTGGAAGTCACATGGTTTTTTTTTTTAAAAAAAAATCTGGACAAAGTAGTCCAGGAGAAAAACAACAACAACGCCCCACAAACCCTGCTGCCACCAGCGCCTCCCCCAGATCTGTTTTCACTGTTTCTGCCGTCACTTAGAGTAGATCCCTTTTTGTCCTTCAAGGAAGATTCTCAAGATTGCGAAAAGAAGTTTAACCCCCCCCTCCACTTTTCCCTTCTGCACATTCCATCATTCCACACGCACAGAAGTGCCCGCTGTCTCTCTGTCTGCTTCTGGCTTCACCTCTTACCATCGCTCATGGGACTGTGCCTATATCAAGGGTGAGTTGACAAGGGATCAAATAGAGTTTCCTCTTTCCAGATATGTGGGGAAGGGCTCCGTGTGCCTCCAGGATCGCTCTGTATAATGTGAGAACCTCACATTGTGAGGCAGAGGTTGGGAGGGCATTTAAAGTAATTTCCCAGCGGTTACAAAGGTGAAAGAAAGATGGCCGTGGAAACGTCAGACGTCTGTCCGGGATGCCCAGTGAAAAATTTGGTGGAGACTCTGTTTCCTTTTGTCCATTTTTCTCCAGTCGCCCAGAATTTGACCCCCCCACATTCCAAATGGCTTTAAAAGCCTGTAGTTCTGGGGACAGAATAACATGCAAACATGAGCAAACAGATCTGCTAAAATTTCATGGGTTATTCGGACTGTAAAAGGTAGATTTCTTGGGCACTGAATGTATATTACATTGATGCCCAAACTGGACTTGGTGTAGAGACTGCTGTTCTCAGGGCTTTCCCGCATTCTCGTTTTAATTACTGCCAAGTTCCTGTTCCACATGTGTATTGCTCCATCTAGTGGTCAGGTCGATATTACACAGCTTTATGTCCAGCATAGAAACCTGCAGGGAGATATGCTGGAAATAAACTTGTGTGATATCACATTGACCACTAGAGGGAGCAAAGGTCATATGGGACAGACCCGGTCCCGCCTCCCCAAGAAACAGGAACTTAACAGTGAGTAAAATGATAATGTGGAGAAGCCCTCACTGTAGTGATTTTATTCATTACCTGCTATGTTACCTCTGACTAAAGCACGGGGGCCCTTCCAGCATCAGAGTGCTATATCCTCCCCCACTACAGAGAATGGTTCAAAAATCTAATTCGCAATATGGCATGAGACTAGTAAAAAGACTATTTCTTTTTAAAAAAATAATTCGATAGACCAATGCAGACCCAGGCATCTCGATCCACATTTGAGCGCGTTCTCACGCTACGTCGCTCGTCGGTGGCTAGTCTAGTCCGACTTGCTCGTCCCGGAGTGTTCTCACAATTGCTAACGGCTGGAAAGTCACCTTTGCTTTTTCGAGCTCGCTTTGAAGCTGTTTGCCCTGCTTAATTGCCTGCCTGCACCCCCACCCCTTCCCGTATTGTCTGAATAGAATTTGTAGCGAACGATCATGGGAAGCGGACTCTTGGGCCCGGATTCATCGTGCCTTCCTAGGTCCCCGAGACGGCAATTGCTTTTTGGATTTATTCTGGAATAATGTCTTCCTCGAAACCTGTTAGTATTTTGCTTTATATGTTTGAAGGTCTCAAAGGGGAGGGGGACAACACAGTTCAAAGAGGAAATAAAGTGTTTATCCTCCACTCGGAAAGTTTTCTGCAGTGGAAACAGCAGAGAGAAGATAAATCTCTTTTCCCCAGAGATGGGGATGGAGTAGAGTTTGGGTATGAATAAGGAAAAGATGGAAGGCAGGACTGGTTGCGGAGAGAAGGGAACCGGCATCGCTTCCTAGGCCACTATCCTTACGGGATACGATGGAAGGGACCACGCCCCTTGTTTTCCACCACCTCCTCCTTCCATCCTCTCGTCTAAGGCGAAATTAAGGCTTTGTGTATGTTGCAGGGGGAATAAAGGTACGTGTAGTCGGAGGGAGGGAGAGAGAGAGAGACCAAACCAAAGATATTCTTGTAAATATGCCAAAATTAAAAATATATATATTCATCACAGCCACTGGTGCCCGTCTCTCTCTTTGCTCGTCGGTCCCTCTGTTTTTCCTCCGTTTTACGTATCTGCCTTCTGCCCAGAGCAGAAAAGGGGAGTGTGAGGAATAAGCTTTCAATCAAGATACATTCTGGCCCCAAACGAGTTTCATTTCTTGAACACGTGAAGCCCACCATGGTCGGTATTGCCTACGCAGACCGACAGCGGCTCTCCGGAGTCTTAGGCAAAGAGGTCTTTCACATCTTCTAACGCCTGGTCCTGTTTGAACTGGAGATGCCGAGGATTGAACCTGGGAACTTCTGTATGCCCACAGAGACTCAGCCCCTCCCCATGGGATGCAAGTGGATACCTTCAGGCCTCTTTAATCAAAATCGAGACAGTGCAGTGTGACGGAATGAGGGACCTGGGCCGTAAAATGGATTTTTGACTCTGCCATATTGATCCGCGGTAGGAATGAGGACAAAATTAGTTCCTCCGACTCTGAATTGTAGCCATCTTTATTTGGGCCGTGCCTGTCCCCACCTCCCCATGCCCACCAAAACTGGCATAACGTTAATTTCTTTTTCCGAAGGAAGCTTGGAAACCAG